CCCCCAGTATATAACTGAAACTGAAAAACAACAACAAACTTTGTTTACTGCAAACAAAGTGGCAAATATTATCTTGGAGGACATCATTGCACTTGGTTGACTATTTTTCTATTATCTTAGATGTAAATATTGCATGTTTCTTTCAGATAAACACATTCACATTTTTGACTTGTGAATGAGTCTGTGGAATTTCTTGCAATAATGAAAAAATACTGGCAATCATGTCCGCCTGGCACAAACCACATGTTTTGGACAACTGTGAAGTGACAGAATGTCCCACCATCATGGTTCTTATATTGCCAGATTCCAGAGAGTCTCCCCTCTTCATATATGGCAGAATATGTCTTCTTCCAACTAGCTATGGTGAGATACATGTAAAAATGTAAGAATTTTTATGTAATGCAGAGTATCAGAATTTTTTTTCATTGATATAAAAATCAATATAAAATACAGGCACACAGAAGGACATGGAATGATGTCAAATCTGGTTAGCCCAGATTGTCCTGAAAAAAAAACAAGATATAGCATGTGTATGTAGCCTTTATAATGACTGTGATATGAGCTTAAAAGTAAAGGCAGTAAAAATACCCCAAAACGCCTAGGGCCCATAGGGTTAAACCACATAGCAAAGTGTTAGCAAAACCTTTGTCACAATTTGGCAAGGCTGACGATCTTGCCAAATTTGGTCATTCCTAAACTCCACATCTGCAGCATGTGTAACCCGAGATGTCCTCCTTCATGTTTCACTGAATGCATTTTAATAATAAAACTATTTATATTCTACTTTTGCCATTTTTAATTCTTTCTGTTCTGTCTTTACTGTTGGATGTTCTCATTTGTATTTGCTTTAATTATTTTATTGCTTTCATTTGACTTTAGGGCTTAAATTTCCACAGGGTTTTAATCAGTATTATCACATCAAGTCCTGGTTGTCTCTTGAGGTCCTTTTGTTGTGTACCATGTAAGTCAGCATGAAATTACTCCACTTCCTGAGCCGTACAGGGACATTCCTGTCCTTTTCTCCTACCTCTCCATTGTTACAGATAGTATTGGCGTATATTTTGTCCTGTATCTGAAGTTAGGAATTTATGTCTCCCCCCGAATGACAAAAATACATGTTTTTCATAGTATAGTCTAGAAATTCATCTTTCTCAGAGCTTTCAAAAAATATTAAGAAATTTTTAGCCCTGATGGGAAAGTAAAGAAAACAAGTTTAAATCCTCCATTTTATGTTTTACAATGACAAGCTCCCTCTCGCTCTCTCTCCTTCTTGTTTAAGTATTTTTTCTCTCCTTCACTACTTTTTTCTCTTCTTTTCTTCTTCTTCGTTATTTACATGGGGAAATAACTCCCTGAATGCTCTCTTCTGAACTATCAAATGAGAAACTCTATCAAATATCAAATCTTTTCTGTCATTTCATGAGTGTCAATGCAAAATAGCTTGTTGAATGTAAGGCATATTTGCATGTAGCTGACACACAACACTGCAACAGCATATAAGGTTTCAACAGATCACACAGCAAAGTAAAGAGGAAAAATAAAGTTCCTATTTTCTCTACAAACACAGATATTACATTAATAAGACTGTGATGGGTGCCATGTTTTGTCGGGTCAAAGCTCTGCAACACTAGCACTGATATTATGACATGAGGTGGAGAAGACCGCTGCAATAAAGGACACTGCCACTCACCTCTACAATATCAGAGTTGGTTCTGCTCTCGTGCGGTTCATTGTACTCGGTGTATTTCAGGAGGACTTTGTCCATGTCGGTGCTGGCATACTGGAACAGCTTGTTGGAGCTGTTGAAGATGATGAGGGCGATTTCACAGTCACACAGAACGCTCAACTCGTAGGCTTTCTTCATCAGACCAAACTTCCTCTTCATGAAAGTCACCTAGGGAGACAAAAACTGAGGGTCAGCCTTTTTTTCTTTGAACATCCATCCTGATATAAAAGGATGAGGGACTGTGAGGAGAGTCTGGCTTGGAAGTTTCCCACAGAATCAGAATCTATGCATGGTGATAGATGTTGGGGGGAGGGGTCATTGTGTATCTGTTTGTCTACCCACTCTTAATTCAGAGGTTTTTGTGGGTCCATGAATGCAGTGCAGGCAGAACTTTTTTCCTCTGCAGCAGTTTGAGGAGTCACAGGTTGGGTTATTGATCTGTTTCAATCAGAGCTGATCAGATCAGGTCGATGGATGAAAAGGGCAGCTGCTTGTGAGTGAATGCAAACTTTCACACCCAGCACAATAAACATTTAGGTTTCTTTTTCACTGCACCTTGCATCCTGCTGCTCTGTCTGTTTCGAGAGGACACTCTGCGCTAAGAGAACATGGAGCAATGAATAACTGAATGGTATATATAACAACAGTGCACCTAAATGAATGTGTTGGAAACCCTGGTTAAGTTGGGAAACTAAAAGCATCAAACAACTCAGTCCTTGTTCAGAAGCACTTTTCAGACAGACAAACCATCAGTTTACGTGCAGGCAGAACAAAATGGCCAACTGATTGCTTTTAAAACCATTTTGAAACCCAAATTTGATGCTCAGCTGGACATTCTTACCATTTTCTCTTCTTTTTTTCCCCCTAAAGCATATTCTTAACTGTCCTCTACATCAAAAGGTTTCATTATTTGTACAATAAATACATAACAGCAGAAGACCATGGACTGTAAAAAAAAGAACTAAGGGACATTGCCATTGTGATGTCACCTATACTGGATTGTGGCTTTGAAGCCTTGAATTTGGCATTTTGGTTGTGGCCATCTGGGACTGAATCCAAATGTCCACCCTCTGACTGAGCCCTCTTGAAATTCAATATTGTGATGTGTTCACTGTCATCATGAGACAAGCAAGGGCATGAGACTACAAGCTAAAAGCTGCTAATAGACAGGCCTTAAGTCTGTTTCACTCGTTGTCTTGGAAATGTTCGAGGGACAATTACAATCATGTAAATTGTCTGTCCCTGCAGACAAGAAGATATAAATCCCCATTTATAGACTTTCTTTGTAAGTGAACAAAATGATAGTCATACATTTTTATACAACATTTAGGCTACATACACTCAAACTGAAAGGTTGTAAATAAGGACTGGACTATGACTAGATAAATTGGGTATTACTTACATTGGAGGACTTTCTTTTGTTTTTTTGGGTTCTTTTTTTGGATTTCTATACATCATGTATAGGCACTGTTACTACATATTAACCATATAATTGTAACATGATGTGGTTGAATATTATTTCTGGCCCACATGATTTGTTTTGTTTCTGTAGTTGGCAGGTGGAAAAACTATGTCATGTCTGTATTGCAGTGAATTGTGGGTTACTAAATCAGTGATTCAGCTGCTGCTCTTACCCCACACAACTGATAATGAAACACTGAACACAGCCATAATGCGGGCTACTGACACAAAATCAACTGACACTGAAATACACAGTCAGTGCTGACAGAACCAGCGATAAGAAGTGATTCAAAATGTGTCTGTGTCACACAGGAAGGGGAGAGGGAGGAGGGTGGAGGTGGAAGAAGGATAGGGGTAACCAAATGAGGGTGGCAATAACCTGGAAAGTGGTGATGACTGAAACGCCACTGATAGAGTGGATAGGACATGTGGGTGGGGAAACCAACTGAGTGATGTTTTCCCTCTCTCAATGATTGCTATGTGTTGTGCCTTCATCATATTCCTAGAAAGTCCACATACTGTCAGTAAACCTTTCTCTGACATATGAAACTAAAAAAAAAAACATTCCACCCACACAGTGTTACATAGTGTGGCATCTAAAATGACAACAAGCACATCTGAAACCTCCATGTTCCCCCAAGCCAAAAAAATGCACCTCTACCACAAGGCTAGAATAAAATGTTTGGAGTGCATAGGTCAAACATCGATCATACTCTCATCACCTCTTTTGTTTTTGTTGAGCAGCTAACTCCCTGCAATGAGTCGTCTGTGTTTATCTGCGTATGTTTTCCTTCCATCATGGCCTCCGGGATCCTGACTCATGTCATCATGTATCTAGAGGCTGCCTTCACACCCTCTCACACCTCCAAGTTTTCCAGTAATGCAGAGTATCAGGTATTGGTCCTCGTCTACCTGTTACATTTCTACACATTCACAGCTCTGCAGCTCAAGCGCTTCTTCTGCTGCTGGCTGCTGAGCAGTTTTACTGGAGCAGTTAGTAGTTCAGGTGCTTGCTCAAGGGCCATGAATCAGAAGTTGATGATGATGTGAAGAGTCTTGCTTCTTACTACAATTGTCCCTGAAAACAGTCAAATGTTAGTACTGACACATGGAGGCGGAGCAGAGTAATTTGCATTTTAAGTAGACTTGTACTCTATTCACAGGTTTATACAGTTTCAGTATCTCCAAAGATTTAAATTGGTGTTCTGCCAAGCGTTGCAATTCAGGGAAGGTAAGTCTAACTTATCCTATAAACAAGACTTTTAAAAGAGTGGTTAGGGAGAGGAGGAATTTCTGAATCTGACCTGATCAGGATGTTGTCAGCTGGCTGTGGTCATAAGCTGTAGAGATATGGGTCAGTAGGGGCCTGCTATACTGCTCTACTGGGCCGTTATCAGCCCACCCAATGGCCATTACCACATTGTTACATTTCACTGTCACTTTCCTTGGGGTTAGGCACCAAAATCACATGGTTGGATTTAGAAAAAGGTCATGGTTGGGCATAAATATTTGTTTTACGTCAGACTCGAAGCCTACGTCCTGGGTAAAAGTTCTGTGTTTGACTCATCCTTCACTCATTCCTCCCATCCTAGATGTGGACTCCCATGAAAGCCCTTTCTTGAGGAAAGTTTCATTTCGGCTACTGATAATGGCCTTCTCAGCCTAATAGTAGGTGTGGCAGGCCCCTACTAAAGCATATCTATGACGCTTATCACCACTGATAACAGCTATCTAATGGCCTAGTAACAACCAAACTGGCTGTACAGGCTGGCAGTTTACTTCTGGGGTGTTTTAGGCAAGCTTGAGTGCATCTCAGAGATATTTTATCTGTACAGAAAAAAATGCCCACACATCTCCCATACTGCTCTACTCTTCTTGCTCTGACATGCTCCTGAAATCAAGAAACAAATTCCTTTTTACCATGGCATCTTACATCTTACTACTTCCCATAGCACCTCCTCTCCACTACTGGGAATAAGCTGGTCTATCTGCTGTAACTTCTGAGTGTTGACCTCCTCAGAAGAAATAACGCTTCCTCTAAAGTGGTCCTCACTGAAAGTCAGATGACTGACACATGCAGAGTGGAAACTGTAGCTTTCATGAGTCAGATGTTGGGTTGAATGTGTGGAACCTGGTGACTTACAGCCACTTACAGCCTAACTCGGAGGCTTTTACACAGGGAGCTGTGGAGTGTACCATTATATGCATGATAGCACTGGGGCTTTTTATATTTTATAGCACAGGAAGCCAGATAGAAACAGTTATTTAATCTCCTATTTGGTCATTAAAGTATATTTTCATAAAACATGTTAACATTTTTTCCCATTGGGGGAGATATAATGTCACATTTTGTCTCCAGTGCAGTTTAATTTGTTTTTGAAACGTCTGAGGAGCAAAGTGTCCTCAGCCAAGATGTTGGTGCTCATGCAACATCACATGTTCCAGTTAGGGAGCAAAGACTGCATCAGATGGCCAACCAAGTTCATGTTCAACCAAGCTGAACATTTGCACTAATGCCAGAAGCATTTGGAACAGTAGCAGTCTCTGAATAAATGTTGCAACTCATTACCGTAACTAGATTAGACGATAGTGGTAAAACGGACGCCACAATTCTCAGTGTCATTCCAAGGGCAGTTAAAAGTTGTGAGGGTTTTTTACAGTAACCTCTTAAATAATGTTTGAAATTAAGATCATTATTCTACAGCATGACTTGCAAATACATTCCTGTAACAAAGAACTACCTTGTTCCTCTTTTAGAATGTAAGTGTGACTCCTGATATCTGGTGTATCTCTGCTGCATCTGTCTACTGTCATTATTAATATATGTTCTGCATAGTGTGTAATAGTGTGTTAGTTTAAAAAAGAGGAAAACCAGCTAAAAACACTTGATGCGCTTGAAAGATAAAATGAGAACACAAGCCAACTTCCCAAAATAGAGTACAAGAAGCTAAATATACAGCAGGCTGCGGCGATGCACACCCGACAGCTAAAGCAGTGTCTATCTAAAAAGGCTCTGGCCAAGACAACCAAACATCAAATATAAACATCATCCCAGATATTTATTTTCCAGCCACATCCCTATTTCCAGAGCCTGAGCCTTCCTTCCAGACAGGCTGGTATTTGTTGTGCTGTTGGGGGTGATATATATAGAGGAGACAGACAGAGAGGGATTGCAGTGGGCAGCACTGTGGCTGGTGAGGAGAGAAGGCCACTGTGTGTCCCTGACACTGACCCACCCTGCTAATGACAGGGTGCCGTCCGGACCCAGCTAACCCCAAATTACTGCCCTCGCCACCAGCTGTGACCACTGCACTCTTAAAGTAAAACAGCTTAGAGGAATCATAAGGAGTTCTTTAGATTGAAACCAAAGGGGATCCGCAGAAGGTTCCGTGAGGGGTCCCTTCTTGAAATGTTCATGAACCTGTTAATACTTGCATATCCATGTAATATTCGGTCTTTCTAAAAAGAATTCTAAAGGGCTACTTTTCAAATGTCAACTCCAACTCAGTTTATTGCTCATTTGGGTTCTTTGAACACAGTGATAACACCCTGGTTGTGAGAGTGGGATCTCAGCAGGATTCAGGGCCACACATCATCACATCACATATTTTGAAAGCTAACCAAAGCTGCCTCCAGATGTTGTTTACCACAGTAGAATTATACAGGGTGTTTTGTATGGAGGTACAGTACAGGCCAAAAGTTTGGACACACCTTCTCATTCAATGCGTTTTCTTTATTTTCATGACTATTTACATTGTAGATTCTCACTGAAGGCATCAAAACTATGAATGAACACATGTGGAGTTATGTACTTAACAAAAAAGGTGAAATAACTGAAAACATGTTTTATATTCTAGTTTCTTCAAAATAGCCACCCTTTGCTCTGATTACTGCTTTGCACACTCTTGGCATTCTCTCCATGAGCTTCAAGAGGTAGTCACCTGAAATGGTTTTCCAACAGTCTTGAAGGAGTTCCCAGAGGTGTTTAGCACTTGTTGGCCCCTTTGCCTTCACTCTGCGGTCCAGCTCACCCCAAACCATCTCGATTGGGTTCAGGTCCGGTGACTGTGGAGGCCAGGTCATCTGCTGCAGCACTCCATCACTCTCCTTCTTGGTCAAATAGCCCTTACACAGCCTGGAGGTGTGTTTGGGGTCATTGTCCTGTTGAAAAATAAATGATCGTCCAACTAAACGCAAACCGGATGGGATGGCATGTCGCTGCAGGATGCTGTGGTAGCCATGCTGGTTCAGTGTGCCTTCAATTTTGAATAAATCCCCAACAGTGTCACCAGCAAAACACCCCCACACCATCACACCTCCTCCTCCATGCTTCACAGTGGGAACCAGGCATGTGGAATCCATCCGTTCACCTTTTCTGCGTCTCACAAAGACACGGCGGTTGGAACCAAAGATCTCAAATTTGGACTCCTCAGACCAAAGCACAGATTTCCACTGGTCTAATGTCCATTCCTTGTGTTTCTTGGCCCAAACAAATCTCTTCTGCTTGTTGCCTCTCCTTAGCAGTGGTTTCCTAGCAGCTATTTGACCATGAAGGCCTGATTAGCGCAGTCTCCTCTTAACAGTTGTTCTAGAGATGGGTCTGCTGCTAGAACTCTGTGTGGCATTCATCTGGTCTCTGATCTGAGCTGCTGTTAACTTGCGATTTCTGAGGCTGGTGACTCGGATGAACTTATCCTCAGAAGCAGAGGTGACTCTTGGTCTTCCTTTCCTGGGCCGGTCCTCATGTGTGCCAGTTTCGTTGTAGCGCTTGATGGTTTTTGCGACTCCACTTGGGGACACATTTAAAGTTTTTGCAATTTTCCGGACTGACTGACCTTCATTTCTTAAAGTAATGATGGCCACTCGTTTTTCTTTAGTTAGCTGATTGGTTCTTGCCATAATATGAATTTTAACAGTTGTCCAATAGGGCTGTCGGCTGTGTATTAACCTGACTTCTGCACAACACAACTGATGGTCCCAACCCCATTGATAAAGCAAGAAATTCCACTAATTAACCCTGATAAGGCACACCTGTGAAGTGGAAACCATTTCAGGTGACTACCTCTTGAAGCTCATGGAGAGAATGCCAAGAGTGTGCAAAGCAGTAATCAGAGCAAAGGGTGGCTATTTTGAAGAAACTAGAATATAAAACATGTTTTCAGTTATTTCACCTTTTTTTGTTAAGTACATAACTCCACATGTGTTCATTCATAGTTTTGATGCCTTCAGTGAGAATCTACAATGTAAATAGTCATGAAAATAAAGAAAACGCATTGAATGAGAAGGTGTGTCCAAACTTTTGGCCTGTACTGTATGTTGTAATACAACACACAGGGGAAATGAACAACAGAGTAGTGTCAGAGATAAAGAGCATATACATTACAGAAGCTAATGTGCACAGGAGGTTTTTTTGCCCATTTTTTTTTGTGCTGAAAACAAATACGCATATTTTTTTCTATAGACGATGCAGTCCTCATATGAGTTATAACCATAGACTGTATAAAAATAATGGATGTGGCCAACATGACATCATCCAATGGTTTGTTGACTCCTGTTTCGAAACCCTGATTATGGCATTTTGACGAGGGCACTACTGGTAGATGGCCTGTAACTCAAAGCAGGCACACCCCTAAACATGCATAACTTTAAGCCTTAATAAAATTTAAACTGAGGCGGCACGGAGGTGCAGGGATTAGCACCATCCGGATTCAAGTCCATGTTGACTTTGCATGCTTTCCTCATGTCAGCATGAGTTTTCTCAAGGTTCTCCAGCTTCCTCCCACAATCCAAAGACATGCAGGTTAGGTTAACTGGTGACTAATTATCCCTTGGGTGTGATTATGAGTTTGAGTGGTTGTCTGTCCCTATGTGTCATCCCTGTGATAGTCCAGTGACCTGTCCAGGGTGTGGCCCGCCTCTCACCAAATGCTGGAATAGGCTGCAGCCCTCCCAGGACCCTGTACCAGGGATAAGCAACTACAGATAATGGATGAATGAATGAAAATTTAAATGGGTTAGTTTTATATGAGTTATATAAAAAACCCTGTACAGTTGGTATGAATGGTGAACTAGGTATAGAGACCGAAACAGTTTTTTGTACCAGGCTGCAAACATTTAATTTTACTTGTGAAGTTTAACATGGAGGGTCTGTGGGGATTGACTCGGTTTTGGAACAAGCCTCAAGAGGCCATTCGAGGAACTACAGCTTTTAGCACTTCAGCGTTGGCTTCATTTTTCAGCCCCAGAGGTTGCCACTTCAAAAACAATCCAATGGATATAACAAGGCAACAATACTGCATGGATTATGTTGCTGTACTGCAAGGGGCTTTGAATAAGCATACAATAAATGGCTAAGAAGTAAAATGAGATGCCACGCGAAGAGGACTCTTACCTGTCGGTTCCTCTCATCGACGATTCGCGTGATCTGGATCTTCTTCCTCCCCATTGCCAAAACAACTTCCTCAAACTGCCGAAGATGAATATCAGTGGGCTCCAGATGGGTCAACAGACAATCCTTAACACATAGTTCCACTGTCAGCTCTGTTACTCCAGTATCAGTTTGGCATGGCTTGCTGAAAAAGAGCAAGACAGAGACCGGATCAACTTAGTTTTTCAGCCATTACAGTATGAAAAGTGGCACAAACAGTTATATACAGCAAATGCATTCAAACATTGCACAGATCATATAGTGAGTGTTCACAGGAGTGTCACTAGACAAACAGTCAGAGATTCCTTGCACCAAAACAAAAGGCAATATCAAAAAATCCAAGTCAGTACTTGGGCAGAATATTTTTGCACTCTCTGACTGACTTAACAACAAATACTACTCTTAAAGCTGAACAAATGAACAAATGACAGTTTGATATGGGCCTTTTCTGGAGACATTTTTGACTCACTACTTCAAATAATTCTGTACAAACATTACCATGCAACCATCTAGATAAGTGCTTTTTAAATCAGCCTCCATGCTTTCTTTTCATTCTTCTATTTGTCCATTTTCTCCTCAAACTTGGTATTACCATCATGCTGCTTTGCACTCTTTGTCACAATTAATTCCACTTTTGTCCTGGGAAGTATGAAGACACCAGCTGCTTCATTTCACCTGACAGCAAAGAGCTTCACCAGGAGGGCATAAAGTGCACATAGGTTCAGTGACCAACCAGCAGGACTCACTAGTAGAGCAACAGACTTGATCTCTTACAGGTTTCCCTGCCACAAAGGCACTGGACTGAACCAGCATTTCTGCCACAGAAGAGCACACAAGTGTTACTCTCTTTTGTTCTTCTCAGAGGTCTTTTGCTTTGGAATTCAATCTGTGACCACTGGATTTACATTAAATACATCAAGGACACAAGAGCACAACAGCTGAGAAAGACCATTAGAATTAAATCAAGTGCATCTACTTCATCACACACCTCGTCTAGCTGGCTCCAAACTCTCCTCCACAGCAACACTCCTTCATGTGCACCAACATGAATATTCAGCCCTGTAGTTCTGAGAGCAACCGTCTCTGCTCTCCTTCTCTCTCCTCTTGCAGGAGTGCCCACCTGCCTGACTGTGACCCTCCTCTCCTCTCCTCAGCCTCAGCGTTTCTGAGCCCTGCCTTCCTCCAGAGCTCCTTAGCTCCTTTCCTAATCTCATCTGATCTGGGAGGAGGCAGAGAGTGAGGCGAAGCCAGGCTTTATTCTAACCCGTTCTGGATTACTGCAGCATGTGGATCCCAGAGCTGAGCCACCAAAACCCCCACTGCAGGGCCAGTTCACAGGGTTGAGAGATGGGAGAAATACATTTGTCTTGCGACGCTGGAAATTTATTGGTGATTATTTGCTGATTTAAATGACCTCTATATTTGATCAAAATAATATATCTGTGTGCCAGTCAAATGCCCCATACAGCAGATAAATCAAATTAAATGGAAAATCCCATGATGATTTGAAATACATTTAAAAGCTAGTCGCTATTCCCTAGTACGGTATGGTAATGTGGGCCTTTCCCTTTGAGTGATTATTTTAGAGCTTCCTGAGAATACAGTCCTGAAACATTTACACGCTTAGTTGTATATGATGGCAATTGGTTTGCAAGAGACTGCACGCTATCCTCTAACCCCTCCAGTTCACCAGCAGCCCAGATCCCAGCTGACCCTGCCAAGTCAGTTCAGGGTACACACTGTAACAGACAAAGGCTCCTTGCATATTTGGGATTTAAAGGTCACAAGGATTTATCTGTTTTACAATCTGGATGATTTGATGGCAAGACTCAAATACTTTGAAAGGAGAAAAAGAGTCCTTTGTACCACTCTACTGTGCTGCTTTCTCCATGAGAAAATATTTTTTTTTTAGTACATGCTCTAGAGTGATGGTTCAGTTTAATTTCTATGTTATATTGCTAAGTTTGAATCAGCTAAATTCTTGTAGCAGTGTGAAGTCACTCTACTGCTCTCTTCAAGTTTGGAAAATCCTTAAAAAGTGGAGGGTGTTTTCTTCTGTAACTTACCAATAGGGTAGTGATAAATGAGTTATTGTGTTGAAAAGAATGCACTGATCTGCCGAAAGATATAACGTACCGGCCTTCGTGAAAAAAAATCGATTCTTTTAACATAAAAGTCAACCCCGTGAGCAAAAACCTCAGGTTCAGCCATTCTCAATATTCTACAACCTACTATGACCGCTTTTTTGACTTCGGCTCCAAGCTGACATCATACATTGACAATTTCCTTATATGATCATCTGCTCCAGGAATGCTATGGCAAGTATATTACACAGCCTGAAGCTACATGCTAACATCAAGGACTGACTGGGGGGGTTTAAGAGACAGGCACTTAAACAAAGCGTTTAGGCCAGAGGGTGAATACAGGTGTTACAGCACAGACAGTTTGAGGAAAACAAAGGTTGTTTTTTTTTTAACATTAAAGCATGTAAACATGTTATGGTCGAAACATAAAATACAAGTATGAACCTGAAAATGAGTACAATAAGTCCCTTTTAAACATTCCAAACCACAATAATTAAACTGAATAGAAACTACTCTCTCATCTGCCAGGATTGAAAAGCTGAAACTGGGACTGATGTAGTGCTACTGCTACTGTTACTATGGCCAATGCCAGTGGTAAATATTATGGCCACTGCTTATGCCACTATGCAATTAGACGATACTGTTTGTCAGATGACGCTTGGTTTTATATATCTAGTGCAATTACATGTAGTGAAATACTGTAAAATAAATATAACTTTCTGAGTCTTGTTTTGAATAATATTTAAACATGTTTTATTCTATAGATTAAGAATAGTTTCACATTACTGCAAAAGTTGATTTAGCCTAATGTATATAAAGTTTTAACTAGTCACTGCTGAAATGAATAATAGCTTCTAAAATCAAATTAAATTAAGACAGAAATCCAATAATCACTCTTAAATTAAATTGCCAACTTGACAAAGTTGTTGAGCAAGCATTTCACATCCCTAATCAACTCTGTCAACCCTGTATAGACACTAATTTGTTTTCCCAAATAAGGAAACACTTGGAAAAACTCTTGCATGGATTATATTCTCTGGCAATGGGCTTTCAAGTGAAGGAACATTTATTTACCACATGGAAAGGTGATTGGGGTGTAAGGTGGAGTAAAATGTCCAGGACTTTGACACAAGAGACTGGGGTTCACACTCTGAGTCCTGTGGGTGGTTCATTTTAAGCATTAAAGGTTCTTTGGTAAAGGGTAGGGGAGAAATGGTTTCAGTTAACTTTAATTAAATTCAACATGTTTGGTTTCATGCTTCAAATCTGTGGACTTTGTCGATATTAAACCAATATCATAACCTTAAACAAGTACTGTGCCGCGAATGCTACAGGCTGATACAATCAGTGACTTTGTAGATATGTTCATTAACAAAAATTTCTCATTATGTTGATTCAAAAAATGGTCATCTGAGCTATATTACATTTCTTTCAAAATGCATTTGCTGTTGCAAATTAATGGAATATGAATGTGTTTCTGGTTGAGGTTCATTGTTCACACTGACGGTAGGTACCTAGTGTCGTCCTGCTGTCCTGTGACTGCTTTATTATTTGTAATAGTGGTAAGAAATGGAAGCTTAAATACAGCATACATACAATATAAATGAAATACAAATATTACCAACTGTTTAGAGCCAATTTTTTCTATGTAATGATAAATCTCTCTCAGGCTGCAGCGTCTGTAAAGCAGCGATGGAGCCTGTTCTACATCTACATCTCACATCCCAGACAAGTTGTCCTGATCAATGCAGATGTAATATGTTACTATGGCAGAAACTCTATCTTGCTGACGTAAAAATCAATACGACCCATGGGACGAGCCAATGAGCTGCAGCAACCGGCAATCACACAAACATCTACAAGGCTGAGCTCCATATTGTAATTTCATTATATCCAAAAGAAAAGTCACACCTAATCTAATGCAATAAGCAGCACAATTTTAAAACAGTTTTTATGGTAATTCAGGAGTGAATCCTCTTGAGTCTCTTTTAATTTTTGAATTTTTAACCTCTGGCAATTTCCAAGTATCTTCAGATGATATATTATAATGGATTTGTAGTACTTTGGAATAAAACTGTTGGTTACACAGTTTCACACTAAACTCAAAAGCCTAAAACACATCCAGTGTATTAGTCACATGCTGCATGAATCTGTATTCATCTGATGTCTGTATCCTTTTCCTTTAATCATATTGGAGTGTATGTTTTTGGTATCATATGATTCATTTTCTGGATATTCAGCATATTGGAAAATAATTTTTATATCTTTTTAATTAATTTCCTCAAATGGAAAAAAAAAAGATCAAACATCACTAAAACAGCTCGGTGGTTTTCTAATCTACGCTTGCCTCTGACCTTCTCAACGCCTCTCTTTAACTTCAGAATATACCCCCCACCCCGGATGGATCCTTAACAAGAAGTGCTAAGCCCCCCGAGCGAACCTCACAGCCAAACGCTCTTCTCTTTATCTCACCCATGAAATCCAATTCCTGTGGATCTTTGGAAGCGTGACCATGCTTTGTAAGGGTGTGAAACACACTTTTCCAAGGTTGGATTGCACAGGATTTCAAATCTGTTACTATGCCTGCCCAAACAATAGCAGAATGTCACTTATTGTGTTGATAAAAGGAGCCTAAGGGTTCCCATTTAACATTTTTTCTACACATAAAATATGACTGTGTGATGAGCAGAAAATAAACATGTTCTTTTCTGTTTGATAAAACAGTATTTCTGATTGGCGAATATAGAAGATATTTAGTATTTTGAAAATTGCACAGTCTCAAGTGTTTGAATACAAGGCAGGCCTCCAGAAAGGGTCTGATATATAAACCACTCTCATGTCTGTAGGTTAAGTATGAAGCTGGAACCAGGAGATAGTTAGCCTAGCTTAGCATAAAGACTGGAAACAGGATGAAACTAGCTAGCTAGCCTTGTTCTGCACCATGCAGATATGAAAGTGGTATTGATCTTCTCCCCAAAGTCTTGTAAGTAAATTAAGTAAATTTCTAAAAATGTCCATTACTTTAAAAGAATTCCTAGATTTTAGGGGTGGAAATGGACGA